TTTTGGGATGTGATTACAATGAAGGCACTTAGCATATAAACAGAGTGTTTATAGGCTTTTTTTTTTACGTGCAAGTTTATGATCTGATATATTTTTTGTATGTAGGTTTACTGAACTAATGGAGCATTATTTTGCGGAGCAATGTGAAGACATCGAGGGTAATGGTGAAGAGTTTCAAGAACAAATTTTTGGGTGTTCTTCAACACCAAATCCTGAGGTTCAGTCTTTTGAATCCATAGTAGAGCATTTAGAAAATAGACTATCAGAAGACAGGATGGCCCGACTCAATCCGTAGTAGAGCATTTAGGTGGCCCGACTCAATCTTCTCAAAATGATATCAACACGGAAGAGGTAAATAATGACTCTTCAATGTTTTGGCCTAACAAATGATACTTTTATTATTTTTTGTACAAGAATGTTAATAAAATTAATACTTTTTTACTTATTTTATTTTAATGTGTAGGGAGAAAATACAAACATCAATTTAGGTGGCCTATTTAATCTATTTGGTTATCAACTTGATCCCTTTTCATCACAGGTACATCAAATCTTATACTTTGTAAATTAAGATTTAATAATCTATTAGTCTTTACTATTTTAATCTCTCTCTCTCTCTCTCTCTCTCTCTCTCTCTCTCTCTCTCTCTCTTTCTCTCTCTCTCTCTCTCTCTCTCTCTCGTTTTAATGCAGAGACCATCCATTAATTGGAGATAATGGTGATTCGAAGTTAGCAAATGCACTTTCTCATTTTTTTTTTAGGTTGACTCTTTATTGTGGTGTAATAGTGTTGTTAGGGACATTCATTTTGTGTATTGTTTTGGAGATTATATTTTGAACTTGGTTGAGATGTACCTCTCCAGAAAGGTCTAATAGTTGGGACTCTTTCTTTTCCTTATGCTCTCTTTATTTTCCTTATGTACCTCAACCTCTAAAAAAAAATAAAAAAAAAATAGAACCTTGCATTTATTTTACTATGTTTTGAAGTTGTATGATAATCGATCCAAATTCATCACCTTATATTAGAACAACTTAAAAGAATCCTGACAGTTCAAATAAAACAATAAGAATATTCATTCATTTCTTTTATATCAGAAATTAATCATTCATGTCTAAGAAATAAAAATACTCATTCTTTTATTTCATTACAATAATAACAAGCATTACAATTACAACTATAACAACACAAGTAATAAATCAAAAATCTTATCAATTTTTTTTTTATTTATTTTCATATCTTTGTAGCTTTCACGATCCACAATAGATTTCTCACTTGTGCTAACTTCTTCTTTTATGCTTACTTTGTCTTCATTTATTAGATTAGCCCAACCAATAAATCCATCTCTATCACAAACGAAATATAATTTTTGAAAATTTGCACTTCGGGGGCCAACAATCTTAACTGCAAGTTTGATTCTACATTGATCACATATTTTTTCTTCATACTTCAATCTACTTGGTCCTGGTCCTCTTAGGGGTTGAAGTCTGTGACATTTTCAAACCTTCAATTTTATTTTTATTTTTTTAAAAAAAGACAAAATATCATTATTCAAGCAACCACTCGAACCGAAACCCAAATTCACAAGCTCATGTGCAGAGATTTCAAATATTGTTTCAAAGATAATAAATGAAGCTAATCTAACGAATTGTTAGAATATGGTAACCTTAGATATGGTATCATATGTGTATCTCGTAGTTTAGGA